AGATAGTTCAGTGGAACTGTAGGAGCCTAAGTTCCCCGAATTCCAACAGAAGAGCCAAAACATAGATGTCATAATTCTATCAGAGACCTGGCTTGGCGAAGCAGAAAGTGTATACCTGAAAGGGTTTGGCGTTGTGAGTAAAGAAAGGAATGAAAGGGCAGGTGGTGGAGTTGCCATTTTCATAAATAATAAACTGAAATATTCGCGTAAGAATGGTTTGTGTGACTGTGACGGCAAAATTGAAGCACGTGCAGTTGAACTATATACGGGCCAGGATAGAATATTAATTTTGTCATGTTACAAGCAGCCACACATGAAAATCGAGCTGAGATTGTGGAAAAAGTTCTTCGCACAATTCAAAGGTAAATTCTTGATTGACGGAGACTTTAATGGACATCATTATTCGTGGGGTAATTCGAAAAATTGTACAACCGGCAACAACCTGTACCACTGCATCACTGAATTGAAACAAACCTCACGCTGCTAAATGACGGCTCCAAGACACATATCTCCGATGCCACAGGATCCAAGGCAGCCCTCAACCTAACTTTTGTGGACGCAAGATCAGCACCATTATACTACCACAGTCAATAAGTTCGTGGACTGACCGCAAAGCGTCGTTGCAGCGCATTACAGCGAATAGGTTGAGGCACGATATGATGCCCTGTCAGTTAATCTCTCGTCACAGCAAGAGGCAGTTGTGTGCCTCTATTGTGAACTGCAGTTAAATGCAAGTGGCGGAATTCGAAAATATGGCAGTTTGAACAACGGGCAAACATCAGGTTCTGCCAGAAACTAGGCAAATCCCCTAGCGAAACGGTTAACATGACGAATTGGCTGTTGCTACACGACAACGCCCCTGCACATCGCTCTGTTCCTGTCCAAGAGGAACTGACAAGGCAACAGGTCGCCGTTTTGCCACACCCTCCGCACTCACCTGATCTCGCACCGTGCGATTTCTTTCTCTTTCTCCACTTGAGAGCAAAGCTACGTGGTCGTAGATTTCAGTCGTCCGAGGAGGTCGTCAATGCCACAGGAGACGCCGTACGGGAATTTCTCGCCAGTATGTTTCAGCAATGTTTTCGGCAGCTATATCAACGTTGGCAGACTTGCATAGCGGCCAAAGGCTTCTGTTTTGAGTGCCGTTATGGATCTATGTAAGTGTATGTGAATACCTTGTAATATGATGCGATAAAACCACAGTCCACGAACTTAATGACTGTACCACGTATACATGGAAAGTTGGAACGGACCCTTGGAATAGCGACCATTATCCAATTTTCATCGAGTATAACGGCAGAACAGAGCCAGGTAAATGCAGCAAAGAGGCTTCTAGATTGCATAATAAAGACACTGAATGGACGGTCTTCATGGAAAAAGTTAAAGAAAAAATAACGGAAGTCAAAATGCATGACGGATGGAACAGAGAGGGTGTGTAAAAGAAAGGTATGAGAGGGGTGCACAGAAGAGCTACTTAGGGGAAGCGGTTAGTTTGTCATCAGTGTATAAAGACCGTCGTCATGATTCAAGATGATTTTGACTGCTGAGATCTGCACTTGGTTCATTACTATAAGAATTTTCTCTACGTCCTCAAATCCTGTATCTCTTCAGCACACCAGCAGCCAATCTGTGAGGATGGTTGATTAAAGAAGCTCAATAAAAATTAGGAAATTTCAAGGTTTTTATTTCATACTTCTGTGTACATGCAGTTTTTAGCAAACAAATCCTCTCTCTCTAGGTGCAAAGATTGACGCGACCCCCATCAAGAGCACGGCTGCTACCACGAAGAGCCCTCCATAAGTCCAGCGTCTCCTGTGTCAAGAAAAGATGCAATCATTAAGGGTAGGGAACATCTTACGGCTTATCTTACATTATTCCAAACCAGCCACAGTGTGGTTCATCCTGCTCAGTAACAAAGACAGATGGCAGTAAAGAGATTGAGCTAGAAGTGAACGCAGAAAAAACTAAGTACATGTCCATGTACCATCACCAGAATTCAGGAAGATATCATGATATAATGGTCGTTAATTACGTGGAAATGATTTAACATTAAAACATTTGAGATGGCAGTAAGAAATTAAAATTGCATTCACTAATAAATTAAGACCAGGCTAAATACGGGGAAAGCTTGCGGTAAATTGAACTCAGGATCTGTTCTTTGGCAAAGTGGAGATTTAAGTACAGCACGGAAAACGATAAATTTCCCATTGTTTTGTCTGGATGAGAAATTTGGGCCTCACACATTAAGGGAAGAATACATAGTGTTTCCAAGATAATTCGTAGAATATTTAGACCCAGGAGGGAGGACATGAGAGAAAGCTGGACAAGATTCTTACTTTGTGCTCTTTGCCTGGTATTATTTGCATGATAAAATCGAGGAAGTAGGGATTTCCAAGCATGTAGAAAGCATGTAGAATATTTACAAAATTTCGGTACGAAGCCCTGAAGGGAAGAGATTTCTTGAAGGATATAGGCAGAGATGAAAGGATATTGACCTGGGTCTTAAGACATAAAGGGTGGGATTGTAGAGACTGGACTAATTTGGTTCAGTTGCGGGCTCAAGTGAAGCTGACAGTTGGCCTCCAGGTCAACGAGAAGTGGAGAACGTCAGGTGTAGGTGGGCAAATATTGTCTTCCCAAACACGCCTCTTCTCCATGGAACTGTTTGTGCCTTTACTGGTACTCAATTATATTGAAATCTGTTAAGTGGTTTGAAATATGAAAACATGGATGGACATTACTCCCATTGCATGACATTAATTTATTCACGTACTGCAAATAACCTATATGTATCCTTCAGACTGAAAACATAATTGGATGCAGCGATTTCTTGGTGGTTTCTTTAACAATCCTCTTAATTACGTACACAGAACCAGAAAGCGTCTAATGAGAGGATGTTTGATGAATGACTCATTACATAGGCTGTAGATGGAAGTGGCTGTGACCTAATTTAATGCATTATTCCGGAATTGATGAATATGATTGGCATTAACTTCGCCGACAAGCGGCGGTCTCTCGGTCGGTATTGTTCGCTTGTGGACTAAAACCACTGAATTTGTTTTGTTGTTGTATCCCGGAATATACTCCGACAGAGCCGATAACTGTGGCCACACGGTCTAAGGCATGAACTGTCTTCGCCCGCTCGAACTTTGGGGTCGTGGGTTCGAATCGCACCCGAGGCATGATGTTTGTCTGCGTTTATTCTGTATTTGTATTGTCCTGTGTAGGTAGGGGCGTTGCGGCTGGCTGATTCCCCACCCAAGGAGTTCCACTGTCAATAGGATTAAGAAACTGAAAAAATAGAGGCCAAGCTTTAACATGGACTGTAGCGCCCACAGATTATTATTATCATACGCAGACAGAATGAGGAATATAAGGAAATGCCTAATTGAAGAGAGTTGGTCTCTGGGCATATTTGAACTCGGGATCTCCCGAATAAGAAGCATCGACCTCAACTCTCTCTCTCTAATTCTTGTTTCTCCCACTTGGGAGCATAGGACATCCGTGAAATGCTTTGTTTCTCTTAAGTTTCTTAATCTTGTACACAGACGGTAGGACTCCTTCGACGAGGGATCAGCTCGTAGTAAGGTCGCTACCTACACACAGAACAATACAAACACAGAATAAACGCTCACAGACATCCATGCCTTGAGCGGGATTGAACTCATAATCCCAGCATTCGGCCCTTGCACCGCGACACACAGTGGTCTAACAGTTCATGCCTCACACCGTGCCGCCACTCTGATAGGCATCGACATCAACGGTCGGTTACAAAGAGCGACCTTGAAAATACTGAAACACAATTAAAATGTTCTTTTGTGTGTGAGGTTAATTGCTCGGCATACAAATTTCGTTATGTTGATTTTTGTGTTTTGCATAGCTGCTGTACATATTGATACACATTGGTGTATATATAGGAAGGCTTTCTGCATGGTAGTGACCTCTACAGATCGTAGTATGTAGTGGGACATAAATAAAAATAACAGAATATTAAACTTTTAAATATCGGTTTATAACCAATTGTCGTGATTATGGCTCCCAGTTATACCTTTAGTACATGATACACAAACGGATACAACAAATGAAGACTGAAACACTAGCTTCAAGTAACCCAGTGTTTTTAACACATTCTTGGCAACGATAAAATGATCCCTGAAGTAAGTACTACTTGAAGAGTAGTGTTTTCTGGGATTTGGCTCAGCGCAGTGTGTTTAACCAACGTTTCGGGGTTGAAGAGTAAAGCCATGCTGCTTGACTGTTTTACTCTTCTATCCTGAAGATGGAAGCCGTACCCTCCTCGGAATCGTGAGGAAACCTGTATCACACTACACGATATCACATCCCAGAGAACAGCACTCATTGTAACCTCTGAGAAAACATAAAATCTCACGTAAGTAATACCTCCTTTTTGTTTCTTTTACTTCTTCCATCAGTACTTCATTCTCTATTTTCAGTCTGTCAATTTTAGCTTGCACAAGCTTTATAAGTTCCTGTTTTAAAACTGCTGATTTCTTCATTTCTGCAGACTTATTTAGACGTTAACAGATTGTGATCAGCAGTGCTGTTCTAAAGCTGCTAATAGAAGTTATGGTCTCTGTGGGATGTCGTTATAAGAAGATACAACCACTTGTTGAACTGTTCTATAATGTTTATTATAGTTGCACAGTATACACAGACAAACTTGAGTTTAAAGAATAATAATAACAATAGTGAACTCTGTACACCTTGAACGTTGTATTGAAACGCAACACTGAACTAGAATCGTAGAACTGTAGAAATCTAGAACAGTAAACTTCCACTCAGTGTATCTTCTTATATATAACCTAGAGTCGGACCTATAGAAAACATGTCACTTTCGTATTGTTGTAGGCTTTGCCTAGCAACAGCTGTTTACTCGTCGTTGCTAAGCAATTATACTTGCGTTCTCACTGTAACATTTACTTGAATGTGGGCAGTTCCCACATCTCGTTCGTTCCTAAGCAACGTCCTCTTGTCTATTCTTATTTTGTTTCAAATTTTGTTAATTATCTTCTGTCATGAAGAACTCTACTCATGTAAATTTAAATAAAGACCCGCAATGCTTATTAAATATTTTCCTTCAGTATTTTACAAAATATAGGGGCCTCACTCTGTCGCTGCTTTGTGTCTCGCTAAGATTTAATCTGACCTTGCACGAACCCATAAGCTTCGAGCATACTGATAATTTGATAATATATTACATTCAGAATATCCAATCCTGTCACATATTTTATTATAATCCAGAACGCTATAACGTTTAGTATTTTAGAGTAACATCACTCCTCTTATATAGTTTGTATTTATAGCAATTACCACGGCTTAATATCGAACTATTTCCGTAACACGGGCGGCACTTCACTAGATGTAGGTCCAATCCTTGCACATAATTTTAAGGTTATGTTCTGCTGCCCATACATTCTGGTTTGCCCGGAACAGTCCTGCATTTACAGTCAGTGTCCCTCTGTCCCACAGATATTATCGAGATGCAAATATGTCCATTTTTTAATCTACAAAAATATGGAATTAAGGAGCATTTACGTTTGCTAGTGAACTACAAATTTCGAATTTCCTGTGTAGATTATTTGCCGTAATCTGGTATTGTTCCAGAACATGAATGCTAACAATACAGTTTCAATCCTGAAATCTGCCATCCAATAAAAATAGCATTTGTGTTTCGTTTATTCACTTTTTGCATTATTGTATTTTTTCATATGGAATTCTACAGCACAACCTGCAATAATTAAATCAATTGTCGAAAACATGTAACCAAAATAGAGACTGTAATGTTTAGTGTAATAGGAAGATTATCAAATATACGTAAATCTTTGAAAAATGCTTTTGTACATGTTTAAAACGCTTGCTTCGATATCACGGCAACTTCCCTAGACGATTTGCTTTGATCATTACTTGCAATTCTATTGAATGTTATTTGTCACACTTTGCGGTTTCTAATTATGAGCAATTTATATTAGGTTATACTTTCTCGACAATCGTCTTTCAACTCTTCGATGTGCTGTAAATTGTTTCCACTTTAATGTTCGCGGGGCATTGCACAATGGGTGTGCCACCAAACACCGGGTGCTGCAATTTGCTGTTTCCGAATAAGTACGTGGTGCGTTCCGTATATAATTCCTCCTATTTTTTTGTGTTAATATGTAACGTCTGAGCTGGATGTTGGTGGTGTTGTAGTAAAGGTTGAACCTTCCCGCCAATGTACTGTTAATTTGGTTGTCATGCGACAGATAGCGACAGCAGAGCAGTCTACCAAAATGGCGTCTGACATAGAAGTGCGTACGAAACAGAGATGTGTTATTGAATTTCTCACTGCCGAACAAATTGTACTGACATCCATCGACGCTTGCTAAAGGTGTACGGAGACGATACAGTGGATGTCAGCACATTGAGGCGGTGGGTAGTGCGTTTCAACAGTGGCGAAAGTGAAGTGCACGACAATCTACGCCATGGGCGTCCCTGCTCAGCTGCCACTCCTCACAATGAACAGCGCCTCATCCGAACAGATCAGCAGATAACAACCAGGGACTGTCAATTCTGAACGCTACAAGACGATGCTGACTAAGCTGAAAGCCCGTATTTCCCGAGTCAGGCCAGTGAAGCAGACAACCTTTNATGTATCTGTTGTAGTTTTCTTAAAAAAAAAAGGAGGCATTATATACGGAACGCCCTTAGTACTAAGCGACTTTCAGTCTCTAGGGTAGGAGGTAGCGTAGTTGGTAGAGACACTATCCTACAAGCTGGAAGGGCGCGGTTTCGATTCCTGCTTAGGTCATTGGATTTTTCAATTGACATAATCCTTCCAGCCGCAC